GAATAGGTGAGGATAACCCAAAATGAGGTGGATGTTAAGAGGTTAAGCGGATTCCAGAAAAGAAAAAGGAAAGAAGAGCTGCTGGAAGAACAGAAAAAACTTCCCAAAATAAACATGTTCTTTCAAAGAACCGAAGAGGGAGAGGTAGACGTTTCTGCAGTAAGTAAAGATGGCAACCAGGAGATGAATGGAGAGAGCGTGGGGGAGGAGGGGGCTGTGAAGCTCAGGGTAGCCCCATGGCTAATGCTAACATGTGGAGGTGCGCTGTCACTAATGGTTCCATTCAAGGTGCGAAGTCACTATTATTCTGTGTGTGATCATATGCTACTGAGAATTGCATAATTGTATCATCTTGGCTGATTTATAGAACTGTCGCCGTATCCTGAACCTTTATAACATGTTGTTCTTCATATGGGGCCCACCCAGAGAATGCTGCTTACAGGCCAATTGTTGTGTCGTTACGCCATTCAGCTGCATGTTATGATAGAGCAGAAATTACACTGAGTTTAAAAAGTTAACGTGAACAAAGAGTCATCTTGATCCCTGTGAAGCCAAACGGTCTAGCTTTATTTTAGATAACACCTTGTCTTGGTTTGAAAAGAAAATAACCCTTAAATTTATCAGTAGGTGGGTCACAACAAACGGTAACTGTAAATATCTGAAGTATTTAATCAGTGAAAAATAAATGGCCATGAGATTCAGTTGTTACGCCTTAGAAGGCAGACGTTTCTTCTTCTCATTTATGAGGCTGACCACCTCTCTATAACCTTCATTAGACTGGTGAACAATCACTTTACAATTAGAGCCAATTATCTTCTAATCAATGGAGGAGGTTCACAATCTTTGATGAAAACCTGATTACAGGAACGGCCAGGGAGGTCAACCACAAACTATTCATCTTCATTACTGCAGACAGAAGGGCAGAGTAAGGAATTCAGGAAAAAAGGAAAAATATCAGAAAGAAACCAGGCTAATAGAAAATAATTAGTTAGGGCACTTTTTTTCCAGTTGGATTAAGGAGAATGTCTGATGTTACAAAAGGATGGTTGAGTTTCTGTGATTTAAAATCATTTAAACATCTCAAAAAATTCTAAAAGAAAAGATTTATCCTAATGCGCTGCCAAAAATGCTCTGCCAGGAACAAAGCATTCTGGGATATATCTGCTCGTCTGGAGACAGTGGATGATTACTACTTTTCAAGGTGCATTGTGGGAAATTTTGAGTCCACTACTTTTTTATCCTCTGATGTTCAAAAACGCCGTTATCACTATATAGTGTCCTATATAGCGATTAAGGCGGATGTTCGGATAAAGCCTAGGCTTTTATTTATTGTGGTCAGATCTGCTCGGGGCCCCGCCCCCTTCTCATGATGTCAACATATGGAAACTCCACTCGGACAAACTGTTTTGCACCAGTTTCTTAAGGATCAAATCTATTTTGGAGTCTCAACATATTATATCATCTGCCTTTGATACCGTTGACCACACCATCCTACTCCATCGTCTTCAGACCACAGTTGGACTCTCTGGAACCACACTCAACTGGTTCCAGTCATATATCACGGGAAGGTCCGAATTTGTTGCCATAGGACAGTCCAATTCATCACCCCATACAGTCAGCTGCGGAGTGCCTCAAGGGTCGGTCCTTGGGCCGACCCTTTTCACCATCTACATGCTCCCACTCGGTCAGATAATCAAAAAACACAAGGTATCTTTTCATTGTTATGCAGATGACACCCAGTTGTACATAAAAATGGACTCCACTTCTCCCACAGTTCTGCCATCTGCTTTTCACTGCTGCCTGGAGGAGATAAAGACATGGATGGCTGAAAACTTTCTACAGCTCAACAGCAGCAAAACAGAAGCCATTCTCATTGGCACCCCACACCAAACCAAGTCCTTCTCCCTAAACAGTATCCCTATCTTCGGTCAAAACATCCCTCTGTCCTCATCTGTCACAAACCTTGGTGTCAAATTGGATCCACATCTCACGTTTGACTCCCACATACGTCACCTCTGCAAGGTCTCTTTCCTCAGAAACATCTCCAAACTCCGCCCCTCCCTTTCCCAACCCGACGCAGAAAAGCTAATCCATGCCTTTGTCTCCTCCAGATTGGACTACTGTAATGCCCTCCTCGTCGGGGTCCCTGGCAAAAGTCTACAAAAGCTGCAGCACATCCAGAACTGTGCTGCCCGGGTCCTGACGAGGAGGCGCAAACACGAACACATCACTCCAGTCCTCAGGTCCCTTCATTGGCTGCCCATCCAACACAGAATAGATTACAAACTTTGCCTCCTCACTCACCAGTGCATACATGGAACTGCCCCGGCTTACCTCAAGGAACTCCTCACACCTCACACCGCCTCCAGAACCCTCCGCTCCACCACCTCCACCCACCGACTGCACCAGCCAAGAGTCAAGCTCTGCACAATGGGAGATAGGGCCTTCCAGGCAGTTGCCCCACAACTCTGGAATGGCCTCCCAGAGTCCCTTAGGGTCCCACAGAGTGTGGAGGCCTTCAAGAAAGGCCTCAAGACATTTTTATTTAAAAAAGCCTATGAACATTAGTTAGTATTTTATCTGTGTGGTTTTATGGTTATTTTACTGTTTTGTTTTTACTACGTATGTTATTTTACTGTAATGTCTCATTTTAACTATGTATACCGTTTTTATTATACGGTTTTGTTTTAACTATGAATTTTGTAGCACTTTGAGATTTTTTTTAAATGTAAAGTGCAATACAAATAAAATGTATTATTATTATTATTATTACCTATATTTTCTATTATTTTACATTTCATTGGCGATCTAAAGTTGATGAAAGTAGAAAACATTCATTGTGACTGACTGAGCTCTGCCGTTTAACAAGGTGACAAAACAGTCTCAGCTTATTTTTATTCATTTCATTAAGATTTGAGGGCAGAGGAGTAGAGCAGGGAATATTAGCCCGAACCCGGCGGGACCTCTTGGGTCCCGTCGGGTTCGGGCGGGTTCGGGCTGTACTTTTTATTATTTCATTCGGGCCGGGCTCGGGCTTTAAACCGTTATATGCGCGTCATGTTAAGATAAAATACCGCTGTTTTTTTGTTGATGCTTGTTATTTTTTCTTTTAACTTCCTTGGTCAGAGAATATATTTAAGCCTAGAATTAAGTTCTTGTTCAGACATCTAGGCTAACTATTCTGAATAAAAATAGTAAAAATATACAGCAAAAATGATTCATTCTTGACTGATTGTGATATGCGCACAATTGAAAAATGTCGGGCTGCAAACGGGTCGGGCTCTACGAAGCTGTCAATCATAACGGGCCGGGCACGGGCCTGGTTCTTTCGGACTCGGGTCAGTTTCGGGCTGACTTTCAAGGCCTGTTTCATGCTCTACAGAGGAGGACAAATGGAACATTACAAAAATGGACTTTTGTAAAGATTTTAAACCAATAAAACAGTTATTCTACTTGTAGAAAATAAACGGTTGTTGTTGACACAAAGCTATAAGTAGTGTTGCTTAATATGGCTAACTGAGCGAGCTAAAAGAGGCTAACCTGTTAGCTACTGAACTCAGCTAGCCACAGCGCTACCCAGCTCTTTATATCACAGTCTAAGATTTACTTTGTTCACCATAAACATTTTATTTTTCAGTTTTGTTATCGATCAGGTAAAACTTCATCTGTAATTAGAAACGCTAACGCTACAGATGCGTTAGCGTCTGTCTGGGCAACCACTATGTCGTTCAGCCAATCATGTGGCGTAACGTCACTAGCATGAAGCAGAACCCGAGCAGATCTGGTAGCTACCATGGCGGCGACTAATAACAAAGATGACCCAGGCCTCGTGTGGCGAGGCGGAGTTACATGGCCCCCGAGGAGCGAAATGTAGTGATCATCTGTCCACGTTAACTGAGTTCACTATAAAGTCAATTTTAAAGTCCTGCTCTATATATGGATGTAGGGATGTAGGGGTTAGGGCGATGGTCAGACGCAGCCCGACTGACCATGGCTGATCACTACTTTTCAAGCTGCTTTGTGGGAAATTTGGAGTCCACTACTTTTTCATCCACTAGACGTTTGGCGCCATAAAATGGTGTAACCACTATAAAGTGATTAAGGAGGACGTTCAGAAACAGCCTCAAATTGGACTGATCCAAAATCTCTAGTCTTAATTTTTAGAACAATCCTTTTTTTCTGGAACCTTACTAACCAACAAACTCTACAGTGAAAACATTTCCTCCTTCATTACAGATAGAGGTTATTATTTTATTAGCAATAAAGAGTAGAGAAAATAAAACTCTTCAAACTTTGAAACAACGTCCAGTGGATTGTTTTTCAACTGTTTTAGAAGGACTGTGATCTGGGTGACTGAGAATCTTCACCAGCAGTATTTACTGTTTGGTAAATACTAATTTTTCATGAATAGTAAAATGTCTGACTTTAATCGGCTCCGCAGATGTCTGCCAGTCATATTTTAGCTGGTTTGAACCGTCTGAAGAAGAGAAGAAAGGAAGAAAAACCAAAAGCCAAACATGCTGGATTTATTTCTCCTCCCCCTACTTTTTCCGATACCTCCATAAAAAAACTGAATTATTGTCGACTCACTCAATCAAAGAGATGTGTAATATTTTATATAGTTTACCTTCAAACAATTTTTGGATCTTTATAGAAATAATCTTGTGTATGTTTCTGTATATTTGTCTGATTTAAGCCATTTTTCCTTGCATCCTTTAAGCTCTACCACGTTGTGTTAACTTGAATAAAACCAGCCCAGCATTGGGCGACGGAACCAGCTTTTCTCCGACACTAACAAGACCTGTATTTATCAGACACTTGGAAAATCCCCAGAACAGAGCTGGGCTGTGTAAAGCAGTACAGTGATTAAAGAGGTAGAAATACATTAGCAGTCTCCTGGGTGACAGCTCGCCGCCTTGTTGCCATCCATCATGGCTGCAGAACCACTGGCCTGATTGAAGGAGGGCAGCGGCGTTATTTATGTGACACGTAACACGTACCCTTCCTGTTCCTGTGCTCCAGGTGTGATGAGTGCCAGCTCTGTTATCACTTCGGCTGTCTGGACCCCCCGCTGAAAAAGTCCCCCAAGCAGACCGGATACGGCTGGATCTGCCAGGAGTGTGACACATCGTCGTCTAAGGTGAGCGGAAGCGGCCTGTGGTGCAGGAATTAAGACCTTTAAACCACCAGAAGAACCAAAACAAGCAATCTGAAACCAGAGGTTTTATTTCCTAATGAGCAATAAGCTGAAGTTCATCAAATAAACCAACGTCTCCCTGAAGCAGAGCTGTTTCAAAAACAGCAGCATAAACCAAACTATCGACCAGATCGTAAGTCATTATGGATAATATCACCCCTGCTTTGGTTTGATCCGCCCACTGGGTCAACTTTAAATTAGGCACTCTGCAATTAACAGATGTTAATGTTCTAGATGGATAAAAGAACTATACATTACATTAAAGGTTAAACTACAACTTGGTCATGGAAATTCTTTTTTCAAAAATAATAATCTGAAGCGACCTCTAGAGTGGTTCAGAATAAAAGTATTAATTGGAGGGGAAAAAGTCACATTTACTATGTAAATATTTTTTTTAATGTTTTAACGCCTCTGATGACGTCGAGGGAAAGGATGTAGCACCTATAGGAAGAGGAGGATCGTTGTTTTTCTCATCAAAGTGGAAGAACTGATTGATTATTTAGTCCATTAATGATACCAAATAAAACTGTTTGCATTTGACCTTAATAACATCCACCTCCTTTTGGGAAATTCTTGCCATAATTTGCATCCCAAATTATTTAGGAATTGTAAACCCAAATTACAGGCATGATACATTATTTGAAAGCTAACACCTTCTAGTTTCTGAATATATAGATGAAAATTGGGTGAGTAGAACACAGCCCAAGCTGCATCAGTATAAACATGACTCAAAGTTGATGTTTTGTTGTGGTTGTGGCTGCTTTGTCATGCTTATATTTCGACATGCTATCCATAAAATGAACTTTGTTGTTGAATTGTGGAGAATCTAATCTTTCCAACAATGTCTAACATCTATATTGGTAAACCGGTGAAATTTTCATGCATTCTGAGTTTGGAGCAGCCTGAACACACCGGCTGGTACGACTGTTTAATCTCTGATCAGATTTTCTTCCATGTCCCACTGACTGACTGCGTATAGAGAGGCTCCAACTGGGCAGCATGAGCAGATCAGTGCACATTATTTACTTCTTTCTCTGTGCTATACACACATTAAAACTATTTCCCACATTTGACTGGAACATTATGAAAAGTTAGACAAAAGTAATACATTTTCAGTGTGGACCAAGGTCCAGACAATCTGGAATGTGGTTGATTGTCTGGGATTATGGCGCCTGTTCCATATCCACTAATTCCAAAAAGTCTTTGTTCTAATCATCAAAGCATTTCTAGTTTCTTTCCTTCCAGTTCAACAATATTATAGATTTTGCTGCTAGAAAGCCCAATGATATGATATAGTCCATGTTCGTTGGTTTAGAGTCTGGAGTCTCTTTTCCAGGTACGCAATCCAGACAAAGTGATATTTGCACATCTAACATAATGTGTCATGTGACAATGTGTCAGTTCTGTTCATCTATTAAACACATAATGAGATCTACGTCTAAAGAAAGGAAAAACGCAGCAATAATCGGCGTGGGACGGTTTCTATGGTGATTGTCAGAGAGATCTGGGAAGTTTCTCCAAGTTTTTCTTTCTTTTTTCCATAAAGAGGTGAGAGAGATCCGCTGCGCTAACCTGCTCTGTCTGCTCCTCCTTATTCTGGTCTCTGTGAGGCTCAAAGAGGATCACTATCAATGAGGCTAAACGTCACCATTTTCTGTTGGATCGGTGTTCTGGCCTGTATGGCCTTTTTAAATCTAACACCTTTTTCCACGTTTTCGGTGTTTCAGGATAAAACAAACATATTAAAGCCAAACAAACCTTTATTTCAGCAAAGGAACCTGTTAGCACCTAAATAATGAGGCTTAATCAGCTTTAACTCTGAAGGCTCCATCCTTAGCAGAAGGCTTCTCTCTGCATTGAGCAGCAGCAGAGGATTAACAGGCTCTATTGTTTCTGGCTCAGCCTCTTCTGGGTGGAAATTAGCGGCTGATTGATGCTGCTGCAGAGCAAGTCAATTAGAAGAAACATGTTGGAAATGCTGAGTCACAAAACTGAAGCATTCGATTATGAGGAAAACTGAAAGGTTATCGCTCTCTAAATGTTAAGTGCTCCCTGGATAAAAACCTATCAGAATTCACTTTGCGTATCACTGTTAACACTGATGATGTCGTATTATCTATTCATACTAGACGTTTAAAAAAGCAACAGTTAGTAAATAAAGTCTATTTTATTTAATGATTATTGGTTGGAAAGTCTCAGCTTCTTTACATGGAATGAACAGACACTGGAAGAATGAATTGGTTGGAACCTAAAAAGCTAAAATAACCTTAAATCTATTTGTTAATTATTGGTGGAGAATCCTGTACAGGTGAGGACGTCGACGGCGGAAACTAATGACCGGAGAAGCTTTCTGCCGAGCAGAAAATAATCTGATTCGCTGCAACTTATCCTGCTGATGTAGTTATAACCGCAATATTCTACAAAATGAGGACAAAGATAAAATATTTTAACTTACTTTGAGACATTTTTAGAAGATTTATTCTGATTTATTCCTCAGTTATAAGGAATGTTTGATTCTTTAAATCGGCAGGAAACAGAGGCTCATTGTGTGGCACTGAATAGAAGCAATAATAATGCAATAAAAATAATCAGTTCTTTAGTTAACAGATGTTATTTTATCTACTAGTTTGTATAAAATGAAAATCATATTTTATTTATTTTTAAATAAGGTCCAATTATCACATATTAGTTGCTTTTGACCGAATGAAGGAAGTTCAAATATAATTTAGTCTTGTACCTCTTTCCTATTGGCTGAAAAACCCGTTTAAACCCGGGAACAATGGGCTTTTAGTGTCTCCACGGGTTAAATGACTCGGACGGCGACCCGCATTAAAATCACCTCGCTTTGATCGGCATGCTGTGGGAACACCAGAGCCGGGTCGACCCGCTAAATTACGTGATGCCATTGAACGCATCGTACGGACGTCAACACGCCGCGCCAGTTGCTTCTGATCTAAGAAGCAGAAATAGATAAACGTGGAGCAGCTCTGGTGAGACGGATTCAGACAGATAATAGAGAGAATAAAGATCACTGACTACGCCCTGATTTCTGTCGCTCTGGTGACATCATCAACGCTAACTCAGCGTGATGCTGCCAGCGAGGGGTTAGACCAGCTTTATTAGCCAATGGGAAGGGAGCCTAATGTTGACTCTGCTCTTTTCAGTGGGAAACACGCTTTAGTCTGATCAGTTATTTGGACGACTTAGTAAATATTTTAAGCTTTTGAATTAAAATGACTTGCAGAACTTCAGCATTTTGCAGCAGATTTGCTTCAAAGCTTCATCTCAGCATAACGAGCTCATTTCCTATTCACTTTATTTTTATTCTTCAGGGAGAAAATTGGAAAGTTGAGAACAAATAACTCAAATTAATTGGTCTGATAGTTTGCACACACAAAAAATCTTCACTGTAATTTTCTTCTGTTTGAATGCGCAGAAATTAAGGGTGTGAGTTTTTTCTGTAAGAGAATATTTCTGAGCTTTTCAGGCTGTTTTTCCAGGGGAAAACATTCAGCCTGAGAGGAAACGTCTTCCTTTCTGCTCTGTCTGTCCAACTTTAAGTGAATCTGAATCCGCCTCCCACCTTCACATGGAGGGGGAAAACTCCGGCGTTCACTGCTTACAGAACATAATGACAAATAAATAAGACATTTATTTTATCAGAAATGAAAAAAAAAATCATTTTGATAATTTTCCAAACGTTAGTTTTGATCATCTGCATTTTAATATACCACGTTGTTATGATCAGAGAAAATATTTCTTTCAACCTTGTCTTGCAAATTAAGGAGCCATATGTAAGTTAAAAAAAAGCGAAAGCGAGACGTGCGCAGCGTGGCTAACATCACGGGGTCTACATTTTGAGAGGCGGTTAAGAATGTGACATTTTTCAGAAAGCGTGATTCATGGACCTTTTAAGGCGCGAGGTGCTCGGAGTGTCTCAGTAATAGCAAGTGCGGGGAGATAATTGACTCCACTAAGGGCATCTAAAAAGCACTCTGAGATGAGAGCTGTATTTAAGGAAAGTTGTATTATCCACTTGGAAATGCCACGCTATGCAGCATTTTTGCCTGTGGTGGAAGAATGTTTCTTAAATGCCAGCTTTAAGTGCAGAATATTACCTGATCTGTACGTGTGAGATTCATCTGGGTGGTCAGCTTAGGGCTGACGGTCGTCTGCAAAGACCAGAGCAGGAAGTCGTTCCTCTGTAGAATCTGAAGCTGGTGATGATGAGGAAGTTTGTTTAAATAACTTCTTTCTTTACTTAAAATAAAATGAAACAATCCCGAGTTACTTTCCTTTCCTCATAGACTGATATAAATGTCCCTAATCTGCTGCTATAAAGCTGTGAAAATGGAACCAAACATTGAAACAGAGCGCCCCCCCCTTTGCAAATCAGTGTCATTTTTTTATTTTTGTCCTTCAAATATCTATCAACACTGGAAAAAACGATCTAGAAATAAGTAGGAATTTCTTACATTAAGTGTATTTATCCTTAATTTGAGCAGGTAAATGAGATGGTTTTACAATGGAACGAGTATTTTTACTCTTAAAATAAGATACTTAGATAAAATGCACTTGAAATAAAACAATGCAATTGTGTTTTCTTATTTTAAATGTATATTGTCTTGTAAAATTTGTTTTTTACCTCCTCAAGCCAAGAACAAATGCACTTATTTTAAGTAAAAATTACTTTTCTAGATTTAGATTTTTTGTAGTGAATAGATTCAGATCAAATTCTGTCAATTCAATCAGTTTAACTGCAACGCAATAAGAAGAGATTGAGATGATTAAACGGCAGGAGAGGAAGAACCATTTAGTAAATAAACCATGAAATATTGTCAAATCCTTGTTCTGATGTAATAAAATCAGCCCAGCAGAGTTAAAGGATCTGTGGCTCAAACAGATGAGATTAACCTGAAACCTTTTCTACTAAAGGATTTCAT